GTGCAGCGCAATTAAAGCATTATTTTTTAAAGCAGTGAAGTAATTTTGAACGGCATTTTGATTGTTTTAACAATTCAAATAAAACAAAAATTTGAGTTTATGATGTTTCATAGAATATATACCCTTATACGGCGGTGGTTATCGATAATTCGAAAAGGCGATGGTGTTGGTCTACTACCCAAGGAATTCTTTATTAGCATGTTTCATATTTGAAAATCGTGTTATAATTTGAGCCGTGTAGATTAGAAGTATTTTGATGTTCATCAAGAATAAAACCGTACTGCGCCTGGTTAAGGATCATTGGACTTGATTTTGTAGAGCATGATGCCGTTGTTTTTATTTATCATTTGTGTTGTATATCATTATTTTTAGACCATAAACAGTCTAGTAAAATTTGGAGGGTTTTTTCATCTTTCAAAAATTAATTTAAAAATCGCAATATAAATGAGAGGCGCTTCCATCTCCGGAAAAATCTGATGTTTCATAAAAAATATACCTTGTTTGTGTTCGATTAATGATAATCAGCTCGCATAAGTGAGGGAAAATACCAATTATTTTGCACCAAACAATTTTATTTTTTCTGATCCTCCATCTCCATGTCCCTTCCAGATTTCCGTCGGTCGTGATCAAAAACAATGGGAAGAGAAGTAACGGGGGGATTAGTCTGCCGGGCGGAAAGTAAAGAAAAATCCCGATGCCGTCAGCGGCTCCGAGCTCCATTTTCCCGGATTGCTAATCCCCTGAAAATATCGCACATCCACAATTTTTGCCAAAACACATTTCCCCCCGGCCGTTCCTACTGTAATTTTCATTTTAAAGGGACTGGTAAGACAACTCTGTTCTTTGTTGGCTATGTTTGCTCTAGATTTTGCGGGCCCGCGCCGCGTGGCGCGAAAAAACCTCGATTTAATTGCGTAAGCGATTAAGTTATGGTATTGAACCCCCCGCCTGGCGCGTCGCGTATCGCTACGTACGCAAAAACGTAGCCATAAAAAATTTATTCGAGAAATTCAGTATTCATAAATTAATTATCGCTGAATTGAGCTGATGGACGATTGCAATGAGCTGCAACGCCAGGTTTTTGTTAATTTTTGAAACATAATTTTACTTATATTTTTCTTGGGATAGACGAATGTTAGGCGTACGGTAGTTTCGCGAGCCGCGGTACCACTATGATTTTTGCGTGGTGTGGGAGCCGCAAGTATTTAGCGGCGCCCGCCACACGCAACGCCCACTCAGCTCCACGACTCGTTGTAGTAATCGATTACGTAATTAAAGTGCGAGAACGCGCGGTGCGTGTAGAGCGAAATATCTCGGCATTATAAACGCCTTTTGGAGCTTAATATTTCGAAAAAGGGCGAATTTTTGGGAAAACTTGTATTGCCTTGTGTTGAGTATGATTCAGTCCGCAAAGAAGAATTTATTAGAATCTACGAGTCCATCCGAATTTTAGTAGTTTTTGAAACATTCTGTTTTTTTTTTGCTATTGATAAAGACAGGGCGGTCGATTCCTAGTTTTTACCTTTTAGTGTCTTGTTTTTTTTTCATAAAACCACACAGGTTTCTGATTTTCGCTGGTGTCATTTCCTGCCGAGAAACGGCCATAGATTCATTCGCTATTCGCTATGGTCCAGGGATTTTTGCAATACCGCAATACGCATTATGTGGCGCGCCGGTAGATGTTCCCTGCTTGTTTTGAACGCCCGAACATTGCAATTAAAATCGAACCTAGCGCCTAGCTTTTGTCAAATTTCGAAACATAGTTTTTATCTAAAAAATTCATCATCCAGGAAGCGTTGCTATTAGTATTTCAAAATCTCTTTTGTCAAATATGTTTTATCGAAATTCATTTTTGTACCGAAATTCATTTTGTTGAAATTTGAGGAACACATACATGTAAAAAGTTGAAGTTTCAGTAAATTTTGACAATGGGTTTCGACAAAAATCAACAATATTTCGACAATTAAACCGTCAATATATTTTGCGACATATGAAATTCGACAAAATGATTGTCAACAAATGAAATTTCGCTAAAATTAAATGTCGGCATTATGATGTTTAGCAAAATGAAATTTGACATTTTAATTTCGAAAAGTAACCTTGTCTTGGCGATTTCTGATTTTCCCAGATTCCCGTCATTTCTCCTAATTGTTCGCAGAACCCAGCAAATTTCCGCGGCGATTCATCCAATTTCCGCAGCGTCAAGCAGCTGCTGCACCAAAATTCGTTATCTATTCAAAAACACGGCCCGGCCCCCGTCTCTTAGCACACCTCCGGTAAACTTGTTTTGCGCATTTTGCGGCACCCCTTGATTTCCGGCTGAGCGGGTTCCATTTCCCGGGCTTCACATTCTCATTCCACCTTCCCTTGAAAAACATTGCTAAATAATATTCCTAAAATCGTGATGACTTTTGGGCCTCGGAAAATATCAGGGATTGGCCTGGCGTCCGAGAAACAATGTGAGTTCGAATTTCCAATGTTTCAGAATTACTATGCATTGAAGAAAAGTTGGCTGGGATAATAATGTTGTCCCCCGTTTGAAAAGCGATTTTTTGTTTTTTAAGGGAATTTAGGTGTTTTAGCGGTTTTTTTTGGAGGCGTTATAAACCGTTGTTTATTTTAATAAATCACGGTTCTAAGAAATTTAATAATACAATTTCATGATGTAATTTGATAATATTAAAATCAATTTTTTAATAGCAATGATTGTAACTAGAACTTTGTTTATATTTCTTGCAGCCCCTACAAAGTCAAACGAACTGACGAGCAACATGAATAATATTAAACTCGGCCCGGTGATACTAAATGTTGCTGAAACACCACATTTTTGACAAGAATTGCTTTCCGTTTCACTGCAGAGCCCGTAGACTGCTCCAGCCCCAGACTAATAAAAATAAAAATATGGCTTCCGAGAAACAATGTGAGTTTAAATTTTCAGTGTTTCATGGTTAATAGGGATAAATATAACATTAGATGAGATAATCAGGTTCGTTTTTTAAAAGTTATTGTTTTTTGTTTTTTATTGGATATTCGGTATTTTTTGTAGGTATAAAAAAACGTTGTTTCTTTCAGAGCCGTAGCGCTTTTAAGAAGTACGGTCCCATAAAATGTCATAATACAATTCAATACAATTGTAATAATACAATTTAACAACACAATTTATTCGGATTAAAATCCATCCAATTTGTTAATAAGGATGATACTACCTAGCAGCCGAAGATATAATATCATGGAATGCCGGCCCGTTGGTACTAAAAGTTGTTGAAACGCTTCGTTTTTCACATAGATTTATTTCCATGCCACTTCATCCTTGGAACTCCTCTTTTTCGGAACGCGCTTTTTCATCTTTGAACCACAGATTGTGGCATTTCGAGTTTTTTTTACTACAAAAATTACAAAATGCTTTTTGACAAAATGAAAATAAGTCGATTCGATCCTCACATAACAGAATTTTGACCTCCCAGTCACTTTAAAATACCTGCAAAATAGACTTCCCCTTCCCCCGCTCCAATCCCTCGGATTAGAGCCCAGAAAAAAAAGAAAAAAATTGTGGGGTCGACGTCTTCTCAGTATAATGAAAAGCGCCCCCTGCTCTTGCTCAGATCTCCCCGGGAGAATAATCCCATTTTCTGGGCCCTCGCTTCTATAGGTGGAAAGGAGGATCCTGCGCTCCTGAATATATCAAAAAGAGTTCCAGCCTCTCGACGATTTTTGACTGACTTCTGCTACTTTATATCAATAATTTAATGTATCTAAATTTTGAAAATCCTCAAATCCTTAAATTAACCTGTATAAATTTAAAATTATTGCTGGTTAGTTTACTTATAAATAAGGATTTCAATAGCAAAATCCTTTAAAAATGATTCTATGCTTTTTTGATACAGCCATTACTTAATTTTTTATTAATTTAATATTAATTTAATTATTATTTTAATTATCAATAAGATTCAAAACAAAATACTGAAACCTTTGAATTAACCTGTATAAATTCAAAATTATATGCTTTACAAAATGTTGTCCATTAATATATTTCTACAAAACTTATTTTTTTTCGAGCCGCTGCCTGATTAGAACTGGCCTAGCTGCTAGATCTTGCTGTATTGAGAGTTATTTTCAACCAGCTCCTGCTCAATTCTGGAGAAAATCTAGATGTTTTGTGGTGATTACCGATTGATTAATTCCGGTTTTCACCTAGCCGAAATACGTCTATGTGAAACAGATTGTTTCAAAATCAAGACATGAACAAAATTACCAGCCATTTTTAGTGCAAGAATTGAAAATGGATTAGAAATTCAAATAATTGATGTACGAATAGGGTATTTTACTCGGGATCTGCAGCAGATTCCTGGTCTACCTTTTCCCTGCTGATCCCCCGATTCAATAAAACACTTTTATTTAATACGCCCGACGCTGCACTTTTCTGCCTCACCTGCTATACCAACGTATTTTTCTTTCATTGTCACTAATTAATATAAATTATTCCGGAAATTTCAAGATCTCGACAATAAAGTTGATTTTAGAGGAACCATGACACCTGAATTATTTTGAACGTCTTTTTTTCCATGTCACACGTAGTTGAATCACATTATTTTCTCTCACTTACTGGTGTATGGGAGGATAATGGTTAGTTTCATGTAAGCAATTTACAAGTTTTTAAAACTTGAATTCAAGAATTTGACGTTAATTTGGTGTTACGAGCACATGCATAGACTTATTATTATTACAAAAATCCTACTATTACCTTGCTTTAAAAAAAACTTTTTGTTAGCCAGCGCTTATTTTAGTTGGGTTGGGTATTTAGAAGTTGCCAATTCAAAACCTGGAACTGATTTACAATGCAAATTTTTTAGTCTTGGATTAATAAGCGATCAATTCACTAATTTTTGATATTAGCCACAAGGCAATTTCGCGAAACATTTCTCGACTTTTTTATTGTGTTTTACTGGCAATCCGTATTTTATCTGTTTATAGTTGGTAATTTCGATACTTTTCCAGGTAAAATGTCGATGACGTCATTATCGATGCGTTCCCGTAAATGGGAAGACGTTCTCGTGGAGGGATGGCTGCACAAACGAGGAGAACACATCAAGAATTGGCGGCCACGGTGGGGAATTATTGACGTAGGAAACAATATAAAAAAGGATTATTGAAGGCTTATTAAAAAAGCTAATTAACTGCTTTAGGCAATTTAAATAAGGCCAGTTTAGGCTAATTTAATTGCTAGTGTAAGCAGTGATTCCATAAAATTGCTAAATAAAGGATATATTGCAAATAAATTGAACTCTTTTTGTGGAAGTGGATGTATAATACATCTTCTTCCTCCTCCGGGAAAAACTCAATGCTGAACTGATTTTCGCCATATCTCTCTCTCTCTCGCTCTCGCTCCCTCTCGCGCGCTTTCTCTTTCTCTCTTACTTTACACTCTCTAAAACTTTCCAAAATGTCATGATTTCGAAAAATGAAGTGCGGGTGAATGGAGCTGTGGCGAAATTAGGAAATTAGTATTTATCCGTAACGTGCGCCATATTAAAAATTCAAAATTGTCGTTGACAGCACCCCCAGATTCTGCACCTGACTTTCGAAAGAGTCATAAAGGAGTGAAATAATCGCAATGAGCCGCAAGGCAGCAAAAAACCAACGAAATCGATAGCGGGGGTTTCAATGCAACCAAATTTCTCGGATTGATTACATGACCTGGCCCTCCAAAAACTCGTAATCACGAATTCGTAATCAAAATTGTGCATGAAGTGGTGCAGTCTCCGTTATAAGAAAAACTAAAAAAATGTCCCCTAGACAATCCGAAACATTTTGGCTCATTGACAGAAATTCTCGAAAAAAAAAATGTTTTGGGCAGGGCCCAACCGGAATTCGGAAAACGGCTCGAATTTCGCGTCGAACCAAAGGTTTAGTACGGTAACCAAGTAGAATAATTCGTTAATTCGATTGCTGCATTGTTGCATGATCCAACTGTCGAAATATTAAATAAGAACTTTAATGAATACGCAAGGAGCCGAAAAGCATGAAAATTCAATGTTTCTAACCAAATTCCAATTAAAATTGATCCTATTGCTCGCAGTAAGGGCTCTTTTCCTTCCAAAATCAGTCGTGTGAAGGATACTAGAAATAAAATCAAAATGGTAATAAAATTAAAACCTTTTTACCGTGAATTTAAGGTACTTTCTGCTGTTCCGCGACGGCGCGCTGGCCGGCTTCAAGACGAAGCCCGACCATGGCCAGGCATTCCCCGAGCCGCTCAACGATTTTATGATCAAAGACGCGCAGGTGGGTATATTTAATTTAGTACGGTTTAAAAGTAAAGAATTGTAATGTAAAAATGCAAACAACGCTGAAAACTCAATGACCTGCATTTAATTTTTTTGGGTTTTTTCCTGACCATTTCAAGCTGAAGGGCAAACCAGCGGGTATTTTTGGGGAAAAGCTACTTTTTGTTAGCGGCGAAATAGCAGAGACCATTTGGGCTTGGAATTAGCGTTACGGTATCGAAGGCGCGCTGGAAAATTTGGTACTCATTTTGACGAGGTCCATTATTTGCTGCGGTTCCAATCGCGATATAGAATATTTCTGAAACACTATTTTTAAAAAAATTTCATTATTTTTTTTCTTTAAAAACAACTGTTTTGTGGGATTTTGAAGGAAATTTGATAGTGGGTTGTCATTTATTGTTAGGACCAGCGCCCAAAACCCGCTTCGCGGGCCTTGGGCGCTGGAATTAGGCCTTTGCATGAAAAAGTTGACTTTCCGATAGCTCGGGTCCTTCGGACCCCTTCCCCCACCGACCACACACGCGCGGGCAAATTGCAAGAATGAGGAAATCTGTATTTTTTTCATATTATGCAAATTACCCCCAAAAATGAATAAAACCGGCTTTAACTTTGTAAACTTGTATTTTATCGAATTTCTGAAAACGCCATCGGAAAGAGGAGGGTCGATTCCCCCAGCTGACGGAGAATCAGAGCATTTTATGTACGGGAAGACCCTCAAATCGGCTCTCGAAACTGACATCCACACACACACACAAAGATACACGCCAAAATTATATAAGGTAGGATAAATCTCGACAAACCGGATTTTTGAAAAAATGAATGTGCAAATATAGTGTGGCTTGTCAATTTGGGATCGGCAATGCTGTATAATATTGAGGGAAAAATTTCTCTCGCCTTCTCTCAAAATTTTTGAAACATTTCTGTTTTTGGCATCATTAAATTTAATCAAGGCGTCGTAGGGGATTCTAGCTGGAGCAACACTAGTATCTTTGTGGAAAAATGGTCCATTCTTTGTGGCCAAGTAGCAGAGATCATTAGGGAAAGAAATAAGCGAAAAAAAGAAAAAAAGAAAGAAACGGTATTGAAGGTGCGCTAGCAAACTGACTATTCAAGAGACAAAGAGCCATTATTTTCTACGGTTATAATCTCAGCTTGGAAAATGCCTGAAACACTATTTTTTACAAAATTTATCATTGATCTTATTGTATGAAAAACAGCTGTATTATAAAATTTTGAAGCAAATTGGATAGTCGGCCGTCAGTAAATTTGAAATTTGGATGATATAGGAATTGTTGAGATTGAGCACACAAGTACTCCTCACTAACATTTTATGAAACATGTAAATTTTTGGGCGAAAAATTTCGTCACGTAGGGGCATCTAGCAGGGATTTTTGGGGCAATTGTTTATTCGGCGTGGGTAAATAGCAGAGACAATTGGGAAAAGAAATTAGTGCTACCGTAGCGAAGGCGAGTTTGTTTAGACCAGGTATTATTTCCTGCGGTTATAATCTAACGATAAAAAACGTTGAAACCCAGAATTTTTACTTGTAGAAAATCTGGAAATTTTCAAGTAAGTAAGTTATTTTTTGCGCTCAAGCGCAGTTGTTGTGCCCTAGTGGCAGAAAGAGCTAGTAGTCACTTTTCGGGCCAGTTAAAGGAGCGGGCGAGGCATGACGATGGATTACGTTTTGCTATAGATTCCCTTACGCTACCCCCCCCCCCCGCTAACAAACCAGAGCCTCGTATTAATAATTCCTTTAGCGGAACCTGTGCGTTGGCGTGGCACCTGACACTTGGCAGGAATAGCAGGCACCTGGCAGGAATAGCAAAAAGGCGGCTAGGAACAATGGGGGCTGTTAATAAGATGATTTTATCAAGATCACTGTCCCGAAAAATGTTGAAACACGAACTTTATTGGAGAGAGACGGCAGCATAAGACAATATGTTGAAATCCTTATATTTAGTTTTATACCGAATAACGACTTAGCAAATTGGGAATGACGCCACATCATATCATTGAGTAATACCACAATCCTTCGTGCCAGAAACATCGTTGAAACATTTTTTTCCGGCGCGGCCAGATTTAATAATTTTTGTAAAGTAGTATATTTTAAACTTGTTCTTTATTAATTGCTTATTATAAATCTTTTACCATTTTTTTTTGTGAAGGTGTGCTCGATGGAGAAACCGAGAGCGAACATGTTCATGATCCGCTGCCTGCAGTGGACCACCATCATCGAACGCACCTTCTATGCCGAATCGGCCGAGGTAAGCGTGCTTCCATTCATACGGCGACGTCATACAACAATTTGGTTTTTATGGTATACTGTAAAATAAAAATGTATGAAAACAAAAAGATACGGTCTAAACCTTAAAATAAAATGTTTCGAGAAAACCGCACTTACGGAGCTTGGGCTTTCTTACAATAGACCGTCGATCGAGTTCAGTCTTATAAGAAAGTTAGCTATTTTGGATGGTATTATCACGATGGTAAATCCTTTAAAGCCATGATTTTTAGAGCCGCCAGCGCTGGCTGAACGCGATCGAGTCGATCGCCAAGCGGTACCGCGCAGCGGCTGAGGATGGAGATGAGGCGATGGAAACGGTGAGAGAGAGCGAGAGAGAGAGAGAGAGGGTGAGAGTGAGAGCGAGAGAGTGCGAGAGAGCGAGTGAGAGAGCGAGAACGAGAGAGAGAGTGGTCAGGATAGTTGGTAAATTGTGCAACCACAACCACACCACACAACTCAATTTGACTTTCGGGGCATTATGGGGAAAGCAATTTTTGTATTTTTTAGGAGAAATTTATTTTATTGATTGTATTTGATTATTTAAGTTTTATTATTTTTGTTAAAACATTTCCTTATTATATTTTTGTTTTTTTTTGTATTGACATTATTGGGGGGGCAGTCTTTGTATTTTTTTCGAGAAAGTTTGTGTTTCCTTTCTAAAAATGTATTTAAGATTTAATATTTCGATTGCAGTTAGAATATTTTTAGACCTGAAAAACTGAGGGCTTGCAAAACAAATGTTTCTTACAAATTATGGGTCACCCATCACCCAGACCCATCACTGGATGTCCTCTTACCGATGCCGGATTTTTTTGAGCTTTACTAGTTTAGCAAATTTTTTTACTGGCAATATGTCTCAAAAATTTTTAGCAGCTACACCAAAATTCAGCCGTTCATTGGTTCGTTTGTAATCATGTTTATATTTTTCCAGGTATAGATAGAGGAGTGTTTCTAGGCTGCTTTCTACTTTTCCGAAACGTAAAAATGTTACAGTACTTTATCTAAAATCGAAATACTGGAATGTTTCGATAAACAACGATAGGCTCAAAATTTTGAAGTTTAAAAACATGTTTTTTCGCTAAACCAATTTTACTAAAAACACCATTTAAATACTTGCGATCACGTTACCAGGCATTTCTGGACTCCAGGAAAATTAGCCGGCCCCACCCTCACTAATGAATAGAATAGGTAACCTCACTCCTTTTTAATCACATTAAATTAAATAAACGGTTATTAAGTAGGCTGCGATCGAATAGGTATCGCTTTATTAAACTGGGTAAGCAGATTTCTCGTTTTTATGAATTAAATTAGTTATTTTTAATGATCGAATAATATCAAAAACATTTCAGTAATGAATTGAAATTCTATTATAAAGTTTCATTCCAGTTCCAAGTGTCGATGGAGGACCTATCAGCACCAGGGCCCGGAATGCCAGGCCATCCAACATCACATGCCGTAGCCCCAGGCCAGGGGCCATTCCCACAACCACCCATCAACCATCCACAACAGAGCATTGCAGACGCTTCCGATGCCGCAAGACGTGATAAAATTGTGGGTTAAACAAATGAAGAATAAATTGACGGGTTCGGAAAAATTTAATATAAAAAAATCAATAAACATATTTTTTAGAAAAGATGTGGGCTGCGCGGTAGGGATAATAATATCTAGAGACGAATAGGATCGTCACAAGATTTGTATGAAACACCTATGTCCTAGCGACTAGAAGCTGCCGTTTATTATTTATAGTATTCCCATTACCTAGCGTATTTTCATAGTTTTTACCGGTTTTTGATTACTCGGAACTTCTAAAATATATAAAAACAAGTTACTCCCCCCACCCCCCCCCGATCACCGAAGAACCTTGAAAGCCAATACAGGGTGTCCCAAAATTCCAGGGAGTCAAGCACGCCTCTCGAAATTTTGAAATTCCGGAATTTTTTGCCAAATTTTTGGTATTTTTTTATGCAAAAAGGAGACGCTTTTTTGGCAAAACCCCAATTTAACCGGTTTAAGCGCCACCCAATTCTGTCTTTGCGGCTCCGGAAAAGTCGTAAAAATCCATAAATTGTGATTTTTGTAAAAAACCCTTTTATCCGAAACGCATCAGAAATGCGGCCCTTTTGCAAAAATATTAATAAGAAATCCGGAACTTCAAAATTTCGAAAGGCGTGCTGGACTCGCCTTGTCGAGAGCTTTCGATAGATAACAAAATCCTAAAATCGGACACGTCTCCGGCCCGCTAGGTAGGGGGGGGGGGGATATTTTTGGGACACCCTGTAGATTAGCTAATGCGTTGGAAATGCTCACTAGTAATTTCAGAAAAACTCATAGGATCTTTGGAACATACATTTTTCCCAAAATGCCATCTGTACAATAAATATCGACTGTTCTATAGTGTGTTTGAAGAAACACATTTTTATACCGGCATAAATATACCAATGGAAGGAAATGATGAACCCTATAAAATGAATTCATTGACAAAATCAATCCTTCCGACTCGTGACCATTATGATACGTTACAGATGCCGATACCTATTAATACGCCAAATCATATACCCAAAATTCTTAAAAGTAAAGTAAAGTCCCGGAAAAAATCCGGCAGAAAACCGGCAAGATCCTGGCTCCCAGCCAGCAGGGCGATTTTTCTCCGCTGCCATCCGGCAGAAACCCTGGAGCCATTTCACTGTGAACGACGGAGCATTGCGTAGAGACTTTTCTAATTTTAGTGACTTTTTGAAGAAACACGTTTTTCTGCAGGCACCAAAATTTTTGGTAGCGGTAATGGAAATAAATACATTTCATTAGATACCTATTAGGAGGAATACTGGGTCCCAGGAATTTTATGTAGAAATTGCTAAACGCTATTTAGACGATGGACGACTTCGAATTCTTGAAAGTGCTGGGGAAGGGCACCTTCGGAAAAGTGATCCTATGCCGGGAGAAGCGGACCAGCCGCCTTTACGCCATCAAAATCCTCAAAAAGGAGGTCATCATTGCCAGGGTGAGCCAAAGTTGATACCTATTTTATGGCTCTTTCTATGCTTGTTGTTACTATCTTAATTGACGAAATTCGAATTAAATGGAACGACAGCTATAATATAATTGCGGTATCAGAAATTGCTTCTTAAAAAAGAATCATACATAAAATAATTTATAAATTAGTATGATAGTGGAGAAATAAAAGTTCAAAGTCCATGTCAAGCTTTATCGTTTATTTCGTGGTGCTGATACAAGCGAGATTGCTTGAAAAAATAATGTTGCAAAAAAATTAAACTATAAATTTGTATTAAATATGTCAATCCCGATCTGCGTTCACATGGAACCTTTATAAGCAAAATTACCAAATGCTAACTCTTTAATTTATTCATTTCTACCGCCCGTTCTCTTGCATTATTGGAGGGGCTAGTTTTCCTGTAAGTTGCAAGTAACGTAAAAGTCATAATACTTATCATAATCTTTTTGTTAAGTAAAATACAATCAACTTTGAGGTGGAAAATATATCTAGAACCCTTCAAAAATAAACATTCTAAACTTTTTTATTTAAAAAAAATAATGCTTTACGTTTTGGGCTTAATAATGGAAAACGATATTTTAGTAATACAGGTTCGATTCCTTTAAAAACCGGATTTTTAAAAATATTCTTAATTTTCAGGAAGAAGTCGCGCATACTTTAACGGAAAATCGGGTCCTCCAGCGGTGCAAACACCCCTTTCTTACTGTAAGTTGATTTTGGTGTTTTACTGTTTTCTGGAGCAACGTGAAAATGTGTTGCACGTCTGAATTTATCCAATTCTTTATAAGCGCATGTATTCTTCACCTAAATCTTGTTCTTTGCACTTTACGCGGCTTTTTCATCGGTCTGCTTGCACGCTTTATTTTTCCAAAAAGATCATCGTACTCTCACTAATTCTAAAATTGCGCATCTTAACATTAATTGGTTTGAAACACGGTTTTTCAACAAGTCTGTATGGCAGGTTTTGCAAGCTTAAAAAATTTGGATGAGGTTATTTACTAATCTTTGACGCCTGTGGCCGCACAGCTCTTTTAAAAGCTCTAGAAATTTCTAAAGATATTATTTCTGTTTTAAAATGCAAAACTAAAGAAAAGTTCTGGCAGCGATGTTTTCGTAATTCGTTTCTTTGGATCAACACGCCTTCAGGGTGCTCCAAAAAAAGAGTGAAGTTTGCACTGCAATATCTCTCGAACGGAAACGAATCAGACCATGGTTACCTTGCCAGAATGCTTAAATATGCTGGGTAGGAAGAATACACACAAGTTGTTTTTTAAGTTTTTTGACGATTTGACGATGAGTTAGACGATCGTTAAAAATTTTTGAACATTTTTGAAAAAATAGAAAACTTTGATGCGAAAAAGTATCGGACTTTTTATGAGTTAGGGGAACTTCAAGGGTACCAAAATGAAGCTCTTGGGATGCGCTATCAAACGTGTGGTAAAGAAGATCGATCGGTTTAACTAGCCCTCAATAGACACGGACTTTTCAAAAAAGAGCGATTCCGAGTTGACCATAGAAAGACCATTGCCATCGTATTTTTTTCCATTTGTTAGATGTAATGCGGTTTGCCAAAAAGAATCATGTTGCAACTTTAACTATATTAACGTAAAACTTGCAGTTTCTGTCGACTTGGCAAGGTGCCAAAAAATTTTTTGTTCGGGATTTTGTAAAGCCTGATGCCAAAAGTTACTAATTATCTATCTATTGCTAACTGCAAAAGATCAGAAAGATCGGCTGGTAAATAAAGTATATCTAGAATTATTTCTCCAAAAAGTCGCGATTTTCCGAACGCTCCTATTGACGGCTAGTTAAACCGATCAAAATTCTTTACCACTAGTTTGATAGCTCATTCCAAGAGCTTCATTTTGATTCCCTTAATGTCCCCCCTAACTAATTAAAAGTTCCATGATTTTCGTCTTGAAAGTTTTTTTACTTTTTACAAAAATGTTCAAAAATTTTTAAAACTGGTCGTCAAAAAACTTAAAAAACAACTTGTGTTATTTCTTCATGCCCAGCATATTTAAGCATTCTGGCAAGGTAACGATGGTCCGATTCGTTTCCGTTCAAGAGATATTTCAGTGCAAACGTCACTTTTTTTTGGACCACTCTGTAATCGAGACCTTATTAAAAATGCAATTTTTGGCGGAGGAAGGCTTTTCAATAAAACATTTTTTCCGGCTGCAGAAAAGGCGCGTTGCGGGTGTCGGCCTTTTTAGATTCCATTCGAATTTTGGGGCCCATTTTCATTATTAACAACATTTTAGCTGTCTTAATAAAGTTAGTTTCATTAAATGAAAACCAGAACTATAAGCGAGATTCTGGGCTTTCGCAACAGCGATGCTACTGCCGGCCTAACTAAACAACCATCCATGCACTTCCCTCAAACACGTTTTTCTAAATTGAAAATTTAAATTTTGCTGATAAAAATAGCGAAAATATTTCTATACTCTTTTAGCAATCCTAACCGTCGAAATTCTACAAATTTTTCTAAATAAATGCAAAAAATTTGGATTTTTCGATTTTTCCGATTTTCGACGAAAATTTCGAAATAAAATTTTTTTAGGTTTTTAGGTTCAGTAATTTAATTGTTTCTAGTTGAAATATAGATAAATTTTGCTAAAAACGCTACAGGGTGCCCCAATAAAAAACACCACCCTCTAACTCGACGCATAGGGCGTGTTTTTTTATTGGGACACCCTGTATTAAAGCACTTACTTTGAAGATATTAGGCATCTCTGGATTCATCGAAAAAATGCATTAGCCTCCCCCGATATTGCAAAAGCACCAATTTGCTCGTTGTTTGGCACCTCTTTCTAATCGTCGTGTCGTTTTTGCAGGAACTGCGGTACTCCTTCCAAACGTCTCACCACCTGTGTTTCGTGCTCGAATTCGCGAATGGCGGCGAGCTGTTCACGCACCTTCAGAAGTGTCGTGTCTTTCCTGAATCGAGAGCACGATTCTATGGAGCACAAATTGTGTTGGCACTCGGATACCTCCACCACCTCGCCATCGTCTACAGGGATATGAAGGTGGCTTCTTTCACATTTTTCACTATTTTCACGTTTTACACTGACCGTGGCTATTTTGGTACTGGGCTGTTAGCGGGGGGAGGGAACCTAATAATTTCCCTCCAAAACTACCTGTTAAAAATATCTAATGTTTTTCGTATAGGTTTTAGTAGATTTTAATCGCTAGGAAGTTACAATAATGTGTTACAAAAACTGTTAAATTCACAATTTTTTGAAATTCTTTTAATGTTTCCTACTCTTGGATCCAATAACTGCAATTTTTGATACTTCTTTATCTAAAAACTGCGTAAGTTGCTATAAAATTTATTGTATTTCGTCATATGGAATTGAGAAAAATACCCCCCCCCCCGCTAACAGCCCAGTCCCTTTCTGGTATGGAGATTCGATATTGTCAAGCTCGACAAAACCTGTGAAAATATTTAGGCTACTTTCTTAACGCCTACACCGCTCAAAAAAATTATAAAAAATCAGGGTTTCAAAAAACATTCAAAAACCGTTTATTTGAGAAAAGTTATTAGCGTTACCAATAGTTCGTCGTACCTAAAAATTACTTCTGGAGTGCCGTGCTGAATATTTCCTTGCATTGCTTCAAAAACAAATTACCGTGCTCATTTTTCCGCATTAGACAAATCAGTTCTTTTCGAAAACGATCAGCATCCAGTAAAAAGGTGTATGATGGTTTTGGAAGAAGCATAAAATTTGCTGCGTGCCGAATCAGCTTTTTCGCTTCTTCCAACCAATTGGCTTGTTAACTCTAGAAACCCTATTTTTATCACTTCACTTTGCCCACAATTGCATTGACATGGCGTATATTTTATTCGTTAGTGTACCCTCTATCCATAAAAAAAAATAACAGGAAAACGGAAACGATCTCGGAGCTAAAGTTCGACGTAGGATTACAGCTCCTAGGGAATTTGAACATTGCATAATTTTCAAACACTTTTTTTCCAATGCTTCTTTCCAAAGAACCGGGCTATCGTGGGCCTGTTGACCTCTAGAAACACCTGTTTTACCACCATACGTTGCCTCTGCCTGTATTTGCAAGGGGCATGGTCTACTCTATAGTGTGCTCTCTAAAGCGCGAAAAAATACAATAAATAAAGAAAACAAAAATTTCATTATCGGTCAAACGGCCTTAACACAGATTTCTTCCTAAAATTAATGCTTTTGAAGAATTTTTAGGTCTGTGAACCGCCGAAACACATTTATGTCGATCAGGGATTGACCAAAACCGGCTTTTTTACTTCTCGAAAGACCTTTTTGTCGGCTTACTTAACTTTAAATTCTATTTGCATGGGTATCTTTATACTCTGCCCTCCAGTGCGCAAAACCCCCAAGGAAAACAAGAAAAACTAGGTTATTATCGGAAAACGTTCACTGAAGCCATTACGAAGATATACTAACTCTTCCGAAATACCATTTTCCCATTTCTTCCCAAAATGCGTTCGGCTACAATTGGCTTCTTTGACTATAGAAACACCGTTTTTATCACCTTACCTTGCCTCGAAACGTTTTTGCAGGGGGTATATTTAATTCATACTGTGCCCTCTCAAGCGCAAAAAAGCAAAGCAACAAGAAAGCATTTTACGCTACGTACATTACGCTACATTACGCTTTTTTTCTGGCTATGGCCCTGCGCGTAATGGAGATGTATTACTTCTCTTGTAAAATTTTCTGGATTGCCGAGCGCCGAAACACATTTTTTTTGCGACTGCCACCGTGTAAGGATTGACCAAAATTGGTTTCTTTAATTCTAGAAATCTTACTGACATTTTCTGTCAAAATGCACATTTCTTGAAATCTGGAACTGTCATTTTTGTCTTCGTGTTTCACGCTGTTGTGGTGTTTTGGTACGACGCTGACTGTCAATGGCAGTTTTCTTTCGTTTTCTTCCCACCTATTTTTTAAAGCCTTTAAAAGGCTTTTTCGACGGATTTCTTACGCATGCCGCCGTTAACGATATAATACCATCCCCTAGCTACGTTACCCCAATTTCCCCCATGTATTAGGAGCTCCGTTTCTCGTTCCAAACGAACGATCGCCTCTGCTTCGTCATGGAATTCGCTATCGGCGGCGATTTATATTACCATCTGAACAGGTCCGTCCATAGGCGTGTCGTGTATTGCTCGAATGTTATATGACGTACTGTGTTACTTGTATTGAAAAATGGCATCAGAATTTTTATACAAATTTTACTGAATGTTTTGTAATTGTTTTCTGTTAATTTGAAAATTTTCTGCTAAAAATCCTTAACTATGCGACATGAAAATGAAGGCTTAGCAGCATTTTTTAATAAACCAAGTAGCTCTTGTAGACAGGATGGAAGAATGTCATCAGAAAAGTTTCTGACGACGTTATGCGAATTTCTGAAGTTTTGGAGGGCCTATCGATTAACCTAAAACATTTACGCAGAAAAGCCCGCCGAGGCGAAGCATTTAAATTTAATCTAAAGGTAGTTAATTGGGCTGGGAATACCTTTGTTTGGCGAGTTTCTATATTTATTTTGGAGTCTTTATAGCTTTTCGTGGGTCTGATGAAAAAGACGGCCTAATCGCGCGATTGGTACAGTATCTTAATGTGTTTTGGGAATTTTTCAATATTGAGCTTCCTGAGTATGATTTTAAAAGGTTAGATTTGAAACCCTGAAAAATGCATGCAACGAAGGTTTAGTTGTTTCGGGAACGAAATTTAAGGTTAATAACACGAAATCCGCTTCAAAACAACAATTAGATTTGCGAAATTTAAAATTTACAACAACTTAGGCAGTTTGCGAAATAAAAATGTTTCAAATATTTTACTTGTAACCTCTTCCAAATGTTGCGTAATGCCTTGTCTCTTGATTTTTACATTTTAAATCTGTGACACTAGGAAATGCATCAAAAAAGACTTCATCAAAAGTCAATGTTTGAAAAATCAAAACTGAAGCGTGTTGATGTCATTTTTCTATTTTCTGTACGGGGTGTCGTAAAAAAACCAACCCTTTGATTTTGCTGTGTGCTACAGGGAGGTGCAGCTGATGAAGGAGGGCTTCTCCGAGTCGCGCTCCCGTTTTTATGGAGGCGAAATCGTGTCGGCCCTCGGATACCTACACGCCAACAATATCGTCTACAGGGATTTAAAGGTTCCAAAAAATTTTATAATTTTTAGTGAATTTTACGTGTTTCGTGGATTTATGTTTAGAGATTAGTGTAAAAACCCTTAATGGAATTGTCTGCTAGGGTGGTTAGAATTTGGTATTTTCCATACGTGTTATATAATTTATCAAATACGAGGGCGTTTATAGCGTAGTTGCCGAATTCTTGATACCTTAATAACCGTAAATAGCTCCAACCAGCTTTGTCATTTATAGTATATTTCTGTGTTTCGTGTTTTTACGCGCAGCGTACAGTTACAAAGGGCTCAGTGCACTGACCAACGAAGATGGTTTAAATCAATTGCTTAAACTGATTAATTAATTGCGTACTGTAGAACGTTCATTAAAACTTTTTGCTTTTTCTCAGCGTCACTGCTAGCATAAAACATTTTTATTTTGCCGAAAATGTTTCAGAGCAAGACTTTAAATCTCATGCACGAAAAAGATTACTATGTTGCACTTGTATGGTAGAAAAGTTCGTAGCAAAACTATTAAGGCTTAATTAACCCTAATAATTACATCCAGAACCTATCTATGTTTTGATGGATATGATGTGTTTCATGTTTTTGCCCTTTTCGGGTGGTGTCAATGCCTTTAGTGATTCTCTGTAATAGGTCGGCTAGCATTTGGGCATTTTCGATATTCTATTGGTTTCTCAGCCGTTTTAAAGGGGCAGTTACTAGCCTTAATAGTTGACACCTTTTCACAAATTAATTTGAGTAAATATTAGTATTTCTGGGAATATACATAAATTACTATCACGAGGATTATCGGCTCAGAACTCAGTTTTTAGAGTTAAAGTTTCAGAAAAAGATCTAAATATTCAAACAAAAACAACAGCAATTATCGTCCCCTGCTAAAATCCCTAATGTGTGCGGATCCCCCAGCTAAAAAACACTGCCTAGCCAATGGGTTTCAAGGCTCGAAGCTGCTATAATTTTTGATTACATTTTTATGTTTCGTGTTTTTACCCTTAACAGGCAGTGTCAACGGGCTCAGTGCGTTGTCAGGATGCGGGTCAAATTTTCATTATTTGGCTCATGTAGGGAGGTTCGGTAGGGAGTTTTAACTTTTTAAAAGTATAAAACTTTCCTTATACGGATTGATTTCCCTAGAAATAATCATCCTGATCTCAATGGGCCTTGGCAGAAACATGTTTCGGACAAAGAATATAAATATTACCTATCTGACCGGTTAATCCATCTAGGGGCCTAGGACATATCAAAAGCTTTTGAACGGCATTTAGCCCAGAAATTATAAAAATCTAGCCCTAAAATTATATAAATCTTATATACTTCATTAAATCCCGCTTCAGATAATTTTTAGATCTGATTGTTTTATGGAATTCAAAAAATTAAATGGTGCAAGAAAAACGACTCGAAAAAAATCGACTTGTTTTAATATGGCATGCGTCATTTTTCTACCCATCGATTTATGCAGTTGTTTAATTTAATAATTTGAGTGAACGAATTGTATCGATATAAATATCGCTTTTGGTTTCTAGTCGTTTAGAAAAAAAAGTGTTTCAGAAGAAAATGTAAGCATTGCGCGGAAAAAGGCTCAATACATGAATAGGAGTTTGGGATGAACAATACCAATACTAATTTATTAATTACATAGTAAATACTGTCGAAAGTATTGTTGCGAATGCAGCAATACTGTCGAAGGCATCCCAAAGCCTTGGAGAGTGGCATTTGGTCTTGTGGACCAGCTACCGTACCCCACAGGTGCGGGAGCACGCCCAGGCCGCCCTTTGCGGGGTCTTCTCCCCACGGTCTAATTACGGTCTCTCCGAGGCCTGACCGTGCTGGGGGTGACCGCGGTTATGCCGCCCGATTAGGTCTTATGACCCGCCGTGGAATAGTTGGGATTCAGGCCCAACCCCGAGCGATCGGCCCTGCGGCACGGGTCTACGATTGGACGCCCAGCTTTCCCCTCACGCCCAGCACCTCCCCTTTCCCCGAATCCCTGTTTCCTATCTAACTCGTATTTCTACTCACCCTTTTCTCTTATATGTTTATTGACTAATAAACATTATGCCTTTCAACTGTCTTTCGTTCTATTGAAATACACGGAATGAACATTAGCCTAAGGTGCCTTAAATCCACTGAACCGACGTATGAGACCGATCTTGGGTTGTGTGTCCTCGGACCTGCTTCTTGTGGTTGTTTGTCTTCTCCTCGTCCAAAAGGGAAGTGTGGCAACTTTATCCTCCTATTTATGGAGCAAAGGGGCTTTCCTTTTCGACATGGTGCGTTCGGGATACGAAACCGAGTCTTATGTTCATTTCCGTTGTGTTTTCTACCTTTTTTTTACCTCATACTTCTCTCAGAGGAGTTCAAGACAGAAAGCATATTGTTTTTTAGTTGATATTCTGTGAGTAGTGAGTAGTTAGGGAAACAGGGATAGGATTCCAGCATCCAAAGCCCAGAACCGCCTTTATCCAAATGCCCAGCCTACTCAGCATGCTGCTGCAGAGCTTGGTTGAAACCCGAGTCTTTTGCGAAGCACGGTTGAGGAAAAAGCACAGCGAACTTTTTATGCCCAGCCTAATGACGAGTGGAATTGTTCCTCGACATTTTTCGGCTGTAGCCAAAAGTCCAGCCTTCGTTCGCTTCATTGCGACCGTTTCGTCAACACAAAAGCCCAGTCTCCAAATAGCCCGGCGTCGACTTGGTCCGTCGTGGAAGGAGAATGGTGTTTTTCAGGCACACAACTTCTGCCAGGTTTGGCCTGTAGCCTACCTTTGGACTGGAGCTGCGTCCCTCGACAACTCACTGAAGTCGACTCACTTCGATCGAGGATCGCAGGGCATTGTCTCTAACTTGCCCTTGGACCTTCCTCGTGAGATGCCTAGCTTTGTCTCTAACTAGCTCTGGAAGAAGACGGATGTTTGCGACGATTCCAGTAGTTATCAGGTCTGTTCGCCCAGCTGTCGACTTCGCCATTTGAAATGCCCGGTACGGTCTGTAGACTACCGTGGAGGTTTTGTCCGACTTTTCAATGGCGATGCCTGGTATTGTTTCTAACTTACCGTGGAGACAACTGTTGGCTGTTCCGACTCTGGTATTCGGAGTGTTCAAGGTTTGAAGTCCAGCAAGTTCCGATCCTTCCATATTGGATGCGTTGTGTTGCAACACAACGCCACTTCTGTTGTTAATCTCAGACTGATCCAATGAGACACACCAGCGGACCTTTCTGTGGAGTCAGAGCGGGCCAACTCGTCGTAGATTAAGATCAGCGAGGCTCCCGACTCCTAGAAGAATTGATTCCTGGTCACTGTTCTCTTGGTGTTCAATAGGTTCGATTTGTACTCTGGATGGTACTGTTTCACGCGCCTGATCAGCGTATTCGTCAGATTTCAAATTCCATTCTGTGGAAAATTAGTTCGCGCCTTTTTCATCAATTCGCGTCTTTTGCAAGCGCTCAAATTCCCAAGCCCAGCCATGTTTTGTAGTCGACGGCGTGAAAATAAACACGGCGACAGGCAAAACGATGCCCAGCAAGTTTAGAATCCCTCTTCAACATCAAACGGGAAAGTCGAGGTCGAGGCGGAAGGGAGAAGGAAGGCACTGATCGTGACGCTGCTAAAGGGACGCCTCTCGCGGGCTAACCTCCTTGCCTTTCTAGTCCACACTGGAGAAATGGCCTCAGCGGGCAGTGTCGGTCCAATCCCCCCACTCTACTTATACAACTCGGAAACAGTCCAAAACGCCCATCATAACCATATCTTTTGGTTATCAAGTCCAGCATGCTGTTTACAGCAGTTTTTTTTACGCCCAGATCGGTTTTTTCTTTCCTCATTTCACTAATACCATACTGAGAAGAAAAGAATTTGGTTCTAAACACGTCAAAAGAGCAGGGATGAACGCTATACCGCACTATTCCGTTGAAATACGCCTTGGTGGGTACGGTAGCTCGCCCCCAGGGGGAGCCCCTTTCCCATTTTCGGCCCAAAATTTTCCCTCCGCGCGCGCCCTCTCCCCCGCGTTTTCTCGCCCAATTTGCGATTGCTCTTCTTTTAGTCTTTCCATTGATCCTTTTCTATCAGTTTCCGGTAACCGAAATGAGGAAAAAGCCCAGCATATGAATTGCGCTATTCGTAGCCAATTTCCACCCAAAAGCCCAGCGAGGAAAGTTTTTTTCCAGGGAGAATACGCTTCGGCGTCGTCTCCTGGTGAATCAAACCTTCTCTCTAATACAAAACGCCCAGAGAAATAAAGAAAGTGGGAATGTTTGCGCGCGGGTGCTATATTGCCTGCCCTCATTGCCACAAGCTTTGTTTCACGCCCAGAAAAGAGGTCTTTAGAAATGGTTGCGCGTTCCGGCTAACGCCCGCCACCACGGATAAAGCCTTTTTATGCCCAGAACGAATTTCTATTCGTTCTCCCCTATCGGGGAGGAAAAGACCAGCAAGTTTATTCCTTCTTTCAAAAGGAAAACGTCTTTGCTGCCGAGGATCCCAGAAGAAACCGAGGAAGAAGTCGACGATCGGAACGCCGCAAGCTGACGCATCGCCTGCGTTGAAGTTTCCCCCGACCCAGCCCTGGTATTGGCCGAAGGGATCGTGAAATACAAACGTTTTTGATGAAAGCAAGGTAAAAAGTCCAGCGAAACATTTGTTCTGTCAAATGTTTGTGGTCGAAAACTTTTCGCACCGCGGGGCTGATAATGTTTGTGGCGAATGCTATATTGTTTGCCCTCATTATCATGCTCGAGTCCAGCTTCGCTTCGCTACGCCTGTGCGCAGATGCTATATTGCCTGCCCTCGTAGCGATAGCTTCTTCTTTACGTCCAGCGGAAAGGAAGCTTAGCCATGAGCGTGCGCGGATGCTATATTGTCTGCCCCCGTGGTTGAATCCTTTTCTAACGCCCAGAACGAAATTTTCGTTACTCTCATTTGCTGGGAGGAAAGTCCAGCAAGTTTATCCTTTTTCACAAAAGGAAACGCCGCGCCCATCAAGCATCTCGAAGCTCAAGCTCAAGCCGTTCGGAAACCGTCTATTGTTACGAGCATGCTGAAAGTCACGAAGACGGAACAATGGCTTACAAACCCTCTCTGTGTGCAGATGCGCGTAAGGTAATAAGTCCAGCGGTATTTGCCAACCAAATACCTTCGGTTGAATAGTATATTCACCGTATGATTTGATATTGTTTGCGGCGAATGCCCTCAATATCAAATTAATGCCCAGCAAGAGAAGTGTTAGTCGTGCTTGTGCGTGGGTGCTATGTTGCCTGCCCTCACGGCTATTATTTCTCTTCAAGCCCAGTTGCCAGTTGAAAATTACTGGTCCAATCAAAAGTCCAGCAAGTTTCTTACTTTCTCTCAAAAGGAAACAGCAACCGCGGCCTGCACCTACACGACAATCAATGGTAGAAGTCAACGACTTCACGCCGCAGTTAGAAGGAAGGATGTCGCTCGATCACGTTCCACGTTCAGCAGCTGGGATGTTGGGACAAATTGAGCGTGACTCCGTAACGATTTGGACGCAAGCCAGGTACAAAGCCCATCAAGCGCTTGCGTAGGCAGTACTTGCGGTGAACATTCCTTGTTCATCGCATGATTTGGCAATGTTTGTGGCGAATGCTATATTGTTTGCCCTCATTGTCAAATCAACGTCCAGCGAAGTAAGTTTAGCCATGTTGTGCGCGGATGCTATATTGTCTGCCCTCATGGCGAAGACTTCTTCGACATGTCCAGCTAGAGAAAGTTTTGTCATGTTTGTGCGCGGATGCTATATTGTCTGCCCTCATGTCAATTACTTTCTCGAGAAGCCCAGCACTGTCTACAATGTCCAGGACAGCATAAGCTGTGCAAATCTCCGATCAGCCAAATCTGCGTGACCCTGTTCGATCTATTAAGCCTGGAAATCTCTTCTAGTTAACTCTAGAAAGCCGGCGGATATCGTTCGCGACTCGTGGCTCGCGGGTTGGCGATAGGAGAAAGTCCAGAGGGTTACCTTCGTGACCCAAAATGTCCAGTCTACTACAACTTTGGTTGTAGTAGTAAAAGTCCAGCTAGTACAACAAGGCATTTCCTCTGCCTACAGCTACTCGGTTACCGACTCTGAAACAATTTCTCAACTCAAATTGCTTCTTGCGGGCCCTGTTGCTTCGTCACCTTAGATTCCTTGTCTTCCGTTGTACTTCCTTCGCCACTTCGGCGTGGAAAGCCCAGCATCTATCTCTTGTCCTTTTAGAGGAGCTAGAATGGTTTCAACCAGCAAGCCCGTGGATGCTCAACCGGCCGAAGGTGACAAGCCGAACGAGCTTGACGTCGACGCGCCCAGTCTACCCGACGGGAGCACCACCGACGTCCAGGAAGATCAGATGGACCTTGGTCCTATGCCCAGCGAAGACGTGTCGATCCTTATGGACGACACGCAAATGGAAACTCAGGTTAGCGAGAGTGCCGAGGTGGTTTCTGCCACCGAAGCTCGCTCAGCCGGAGGTTCCGATGCCCAGCCAAGTTCGCGCTCTGAGCGCACAAAACAAAAAGCCCAGCAACGCCCAGCCGAGGTGGAACATAGCTCTTTCATCCTTAGTGCGGAAGAGGTGCGGGAGGAACGTTTGCGAAAAGTCAACTCTATGGGTTATGACGGGTTTTTCTGGACCCAAAAACCCCTGACCCTCGACCGCACTCCAAATCTGTATTCCCCTCAAAGCCCAGCCTGGATTCGCAACACTCCGCCAGGACTTGCCCACCGTAACCGCATCCCAGGTACCGGCGACGGCACTCCTGTCGCGATGTACTTCGACTCCATCTCCATTCTCTCGGAGTCGGTGGTCGAAGGCGACGTCCAGCGAGCAGAACACCACAATCTCCTGAGGACGGAGTTCTTGCTCCAGCTTCGTTTGAAGCATAAGCCCAGCAATAATGAATTTTTTGACAAGGTTCACAAAGAAGTCCTTCGTGACTTCTTGACCTTGTTCGAAAATCACATGTCTCACGGTTACCCGCCTGAGACTAAAGCCCAGCTGCAATACTTTCTGCGCAATGAAGCGTTGATGCGTCGTATTTCACATGCGTTGTTCTCACGTGGAGGCAGAACATTGCAAGAAGTCTTTCTCGCGAAAGACAAGACCAGCCAGACAGCGAAGACGATGAGTGAGTACCTGATGGCTTGGTTGGATAGCGTTCTTTTGGACGATATCACTTCTGCCCTCCCATTAGCGAAAGCTCTCGGCCTCACTACCAATGTTCGCGAGGTCCTACAAGATCTCGAGAACGACGTCCAGGCACTGGCCTGGCTCCGGTTCATCGACGAGGCTAATCAGCTCTTCGATGATGGCCTAAGTCTCAATCTGGGCCACGCTTTCTCAGTTCTGCGTCAAGTTCATGCACGCTTAGCTGTACAAGCTCAGGCCGACATCGTCAAGGCTTCGGCCCGGCGAGAGCGAGACCGTCAGGCACTAGTGGCCTCCGGAGCCTTGCCTCAAGACCAGAACGTTTTTTCGGCGAATGATCCGGAAAAACGAAAAGCCCAGTACCGAAAAGCCCAGTCCTCCAATTTAGATTCCGGCAACCCTTTCCCCCAGCCCATCTTCAACAACCCGCCGTCTCGAGGCTATTCCGAGAACGGCAAGCAGCCACAATTCGGTCTGTGGGAGAAGACGCCGGATGAAGGATTGATCGTGAGAGGAAACAAGATCGTCCTTTCACGCCTGTCAGCCGAGCAAAAGGAGCCATTCACTGCCACCTACGGTAATAAGCCCAACTACGCCACCATCCCGAACGAGTTCGCTCGTAAATGGGTCGGTATCCCCGGTTTCGAGGCGCCTCCATTGGCCGGAGAAAAGGGTTTCACCGAATACGCCTATTTTACGATGGATGAGGACCTCGAAGCTCTTATTGCATCGTTGGTCGATGGCACTGAACCCCCTATTACTTGTGTCCCTGACGGCAACGCCCAGCAACCAAATGCCCAGCGTCGTTTTGCTGAATTCGAGGATAATCCTCGTTTCAGCGAAGTCGACCAAGTCCCGATGCGGTACCTGACCTATCGCATTTGGCAGGCCGCTGTACGCCCAGCACATCGAGTGGATCAATCGCTCGAGGCTTATAAAGCCGACCCCAATGCGACTTATATCGCAGAAAGCCCAGCCTTGCACAATATATGGTTACTCGGTAACGTGGTTTATCCATATATGCGCATTGAAGCACGCCCAGATGACCCCAAACGCCAAGCAATGTTTCATGAAGGTCTTCACTTGCCCCATCCTCGGTACCGTCTATCTCACGGATTGCTGAAAGGCATGGGTGGATACGTCGGTGGCCGAACCTGGGGTTACAAAGATGAGGCCTCCATGATTCAAGCCTTTGAATTTATTTGCCAAGACCTCGTCGATCTCGACTTCAACGTGGGATTTGCCCTGCACTACATCGGCAGAAATGGCAACACCCCCGAAGTCGTCCGTATCGCCGTTGGTCACTTCATTGGCAACGCCCAGAAAAAAGACCAGCAAAATGACCAGCATTACGGTGTTCCAGATCGTAACTGCTACGAGGCCCTCGAGGATTACCTCGCTTTCGGCGAGTACGCGAAGAAGGACATCCCCAGCCAAAGCCAGGCTGAGAACACCGTCTGCTGTTGTGCTGGCGAGTCAAGCTGCACACACAGCCCAGAAGTCTGCCTCGGCCTCATGAGGTCCAGCGTCATGCTGGCCGTTGCCCGGGAGCAGATGGTATGCCCAGGTAATAATGAAGCCCAGTCGTTTGCTTGTGCTCGTAGTGTTATCTGGATTCGCCAGCAACCTATGAAGCACAAGTTTAACAAATGCCCAGCAAAAACCGCGATGCCCAAGTGTCCCTATTGCGGCTCACAGCATCGCGAAGCATGGTGTCGCGTCCGAAAGTTGCAATTGGGTCTGTTCGACCTGAGCGGCGACGAGTACGACCATGCCACGCTCTACGATCTCCTGCGACATGACCGCGTTCGCTTTCCGAACATCGGCGGCACCATGTTCCAGGAGCACAAAGAGCATGGCACACCATTGATTCTCAACGCTCAGATGTTCCGCGAACAAAAAGTCCAGGAGGCGGTGCGCCAAGCCACCTTGAACGCCCAGCCAATCGCCGAGGATCATCCTATGGCAGACGCCCAGCAAGACCCTCCCGCGCCAGCCCTGACCGATGAGTACAACCTCTTCGATCAGTTGCTGGAAAACGTGGCTGTCCAACATGGTCTTCCCCCAAAGTCTGCCTTCGAACATGCTATTGATGTTCTTCCGCCAGTGGTGGTTGAAACGGAGGCAGCGCTTTACGCCCAGCAAACCGGCTCGAGCCATGCTCGCCACCCAAGCCCAGCTCCTGGCCCGTCGTCTTCTACTTTAGGCACCTTCACCCGGCAGAAGTCGTATCGTAACCGCAACTCGGAGAACGACGATCGCCCGGCGAAGAAGACCTACCCTCCCCGAAAAAGTCAGGGAGGTTCGCGGGCGCCCAGCCGCTCCAAGTCGTCGGCAACGACGCGAAGCCCAGCTTCTCAGCAACCGACTTCCTCCTCGTCGCTTAGCGGCCACGGAAGTCGGCCCAACACGCCCAGCGTTCGCCAGCCAAACCGTCATTCCTCTCAGGGCAACCGTCGCGGCGGCGGACATGCTGGCGGTCAACCGTTTGTTGGCCGCGGCAATTTCCAGGGCAAGAACCTATGAGTTTTCTTTGCCCGACAAGCCCAGCTCAAAAAATATACAGCACCACCAACGCCCAGTTTTCTTGAGGCCCAGCAATTGTTTTTATAAAAAATGAACAGCACTGTTACCAAAGAAGCCCAGTTTTTCAAAGGCCCAGTCATGTATACGACGCCCAGTTTTTTTGCTACGACCAGGTTTTTAGAAGCCCAGCCACTTACCCATTTCAAAAAAACTACACAGCCAAAATCCGTTTCCTAAACGGTTCCTAGCTGGAAGAAGATAAAGTTCTTTTATCCCCTCTCCTGTCTAGCGAAATGCCCAGCCATGGTCTACCACCGCAAGTTCGCCGCCACCACAACAAGCCTTCGTCAAGCTCATCTTCAAGTTCAGCTTCGATCCAAGTATTCTTCAGTGGCGTTGTTTTGTGTATGGTATTCCCTTTTTATTTTTATCCCCTGGCCCAGTCTTCCACGTGCATCGTCTGGGTGCGGGCCCAGTTATGCGGTGCACGTCCGTAGCGCCCCTCTTTCTCCCTTTTATAAGTGTCCCATTCCCGCCCCACCTCCTGCTGCAGCCTTTCCAAGTCTGATCCAGGAGTCCCTATCGCCCAGTAGAGCCGTCCATTCCTTCTTCCGGACAGCTCTCGTCCCAACGCCCAGTTGCCCCATTTTTTTCGTAGTCCCCAGGCTCTCCTTCCAGCAAGGAACCTGAGTCCACGCAAAACTCCTGCTCCTCGTCTAAGCCCCACTTTCTTCTGGGGCCGGGAGTGTCGAAAGTATTGTTGCGAATGCAGCAATACTGTCGAAGGCATCCCAAAGCCTTGGAGAGTGGCATTTGGTCTTGTGGACCAGCTACCGTACCCCACAGGTGCGGGAGCACGCCCAGGCCGCCCTTTGCGGGGTCTTCTCCCCACGGTCTAATTACGGTCTCTCCGAGGCCTGACCGTGCTGGGGGTGACCGCGGTTATGCCGCCCGATTAGGTCTTATGACCCGCCGTGGAATAGTTGGGATTCAGGCCCAACCCCGAGCGATCGGCCCTGCGGCACGGGTCTACGATTGGACGCCCAGCTTTCCCCTCACGCCCAGCACCTCCCCTTTCCCCGAATCCCTGTTTCCTATCTAACTCGTATTTCTACTCACCCTTTTCTCTTATATGTTTATTGACTAATAAACATTATGCCTTTCAACTGTCTTTCGTTCTATTGAAATACACGGAATGAACATTAGCCTAAGGTGCCTTAAATCCACTGAACCGACGTATGAGACCGATCTTGGGTTGTGTGTCCTCGGACCTGCTTCTTGTGGTTGTTTGTCTTCTCCTCGTCCAAAAGGGAAGTGTGGCAACTTTATCCTCCTATTTATGGAGCAAAGGGGCTTTCCTTTTCGACAAATACCGATAATTTGAGAAGTTGTAAAATGAAATGTTACAAATAAAATGGAAAATTGTTAGGATTAGAAATTCGTACTATCTTTTGGTCTTTTAGTCTTGTTCTTTGGGTACTTTTGGTGGTCTATAAAAAATGTTTCAGAATAAAAACGTAAGCATGGCGCCGGAAAAAACCTAATACAGGAATGACATGAGTGTGCCATCAAAAATACCAATTCCTACTTATGAATTCACATACTAAGCATCGTTAGTTTGAGCAGGTGAAAATGAAATGTTACAAATAAAATATAAAACTTTTAAGATTAGAAATTCGTAATACCCCAAGCAATGTTACAAATCGTATTTTCCCGGCCGCGTTAAGCTTAACCGTAGATTTAAGTCAAATTAAATTTAACAATTAGAAAAATTTACATGCCTCACATAGCCGATCAAATCTAAAGCTGGGCTTTGGCCGTCGTTTTAAAAAAATATCCGATAAATTAAAATGTTACAGAAAATAAAGTAAAGGCTCGGAAAATGAATTCACTAATAGGGAGAAATTCTTTTCTTTTATAATTTTTCGGAACAATAAATTTTAGCTGGAAAACCTGCTGCTCGACAAGGATGGCCATATTAAAATTGCCGATTTCGGGCTGTGCAAAGAGGATATATCGTTCGGCGACCGGACGAGCACTTTCTGCGGAACACCCGAATATTTGGCGCCTGAGGTGAGTATGATACCTTGACCACATTAATATTCATTGAATCGGATTTGTGTGAAATCGAATTTTAATTAAAAGATTTTATTTTACTGTTGGATAATTTACAAAAATATAATGAAGCTAAAGAAAAATTTTAGGTGCATTTAATTTTTGATGAAACATATGTTTTAAGAAAATGTTTCCCTTTCTTGTGAGTCCGAATTTTTACAAAAAGTCATAATCTTGAGGCTCCTGATGTTTGATCTTGCTGTTTTGGTAGCTTGAAATATCAAAATACCAATTTACAGGTTTAATCCAATTTAATTAGAAGTTTTAACTGTATTAAATATACAATTTTTTCTTTGTCAAATTCCATTTAAAAATATAATTAGGTTTAATAAAATTTTTACAGGTTCTCGAAGACAACGACTACGGTCGTCAGGTGGACTGGTGGGGTGTCGGGGTGGTGCTGTACGAAATGATGTGCGGCCGGTTGCCCTTCTACTCAAAGGTATATTTAAAGTTTTAAAGTATATGTTAAAGTTTCAATATCAAAAAACTTGGCACTCTAGATATAGGAATTTAATGTGGCGCTAAAAAAAATAAATTATGATTAATATGCCATAATGATAAGTAAAAATGATGTCCGTAAATCAAAAAAAGATGCCACTCTTGCTACAAATTTTTGAGAAACACGGTTTTGCAAAAGGTAATGAAGTTCTAATCACTGTCTGCAAACATACATAAATTTGTGAATCAATGACGTCCGGAAATTATAATACAAAATAAATTCGAAATATTATTGCGAGAAAACACAGTAGTTCCGAAAGGCAACCTCCCCCGCCCCACTTGCACGATCGAAACATTTTTTTATCAAACACAAAGATTAGCTTAAAAGCCGGCTTCCTTTTCTTAAAATGATCTTAACTTCTTGTCTTGATATTCAACTTTTTGCTAAAAAATGCGCGGTTTTTCCACGTCAAAAGAAGCTCGCATAAATAAGCTCTTTTCCGGGTTTTTGGTGATAAAAACACAGTTAATCCACTTAATATGGAAAACGGAAAGAGCTCATTGATTAGATCCATCGGTACTAACTCAACCCCTCAAACTATGGCGCAAATCCCCCACACCACTATAAATCTTTTCGAAACATTTTCTCACAAAATCACATGAAGACTATTATGTGTTTTAATCCAAAGAGAACGTTTTGTAACCTAAAGGATGGTCAGGTTTGTACCAGAGAAAAATTTGAAAACATGTTAGTTTTCCCATTTATTTATTTGCTGACAACATCCTCTTCAGAAATTGGTATTATTAATTCCCAACCTCCCATAACTTTAAAAATATTTGAAACATATTTTCTATCCTGAAAATCTTTTTTGTTTTAGGACCACAAAAAGCTGTTCGAGCTGATCATGATCGGCGAGCTGCGCTTCCCCTCCAAGCTCAGCCCCGAGGCCAAGAATCTGCTCATCGGGCTGCTCGTCAAGGACCCCACGCAACGGTATGGTAATCTAGAGAAAAATGCTTTAACGAAAAATTATGTTTCCAAAAAATATCGTATTAAAAAGGCATATCGGGAGTATTAATTCGGTTGAAGGAGTAAATATAATGTTTCTTTTTCCATCCCAGCTATTTTTCACTCTCCGCCGCACCTATTCCTTGTTTTTGATGGAGCATTAAAGGCTTTATGATTCTATGCTCTTAGCGGGGGATTTAGCTAGTAAATACCCCGGCATACCCACGCGCTAGGTGGCCAGCTACGCAGAGAAACGTTTGCGTAACTACCCACCGACACGCACTATCGGCAGTTACGCAAACGCGTGTACAGGGTGCTATTTACAAATTGTCAAAGTACCAACAGGCCAGAATCCCGACAGAATACCGACTCGTGACCTTAAAAAATTTTTGGGGCTCCGGCATTTTACTGAAGTTAAAAAATTTGTTTCATCATATATTCCAATAAAACAAGGATCGGGGCGATTAATGGAAATTGAACGGACTTTCAAATTACAGACTTCCAAAATACGAATAGACTGAAAATCCCGACAGCAGAATTCCAACAGCCTTTCAAATCAAAAATTTTTCAAATTACTCAAAAAATATAAACGAGGAAGTATTAGCCAGCTTTTTCGCGGCTTTTACTGCCCAAATTCTAAAACACCTTTTTTTAACCGTTCATTGAAAGAATTCTAGGCTTGGCGGCGGACCAGATGATGCTCTTGAAATCACACAGCACGACTTCTTTGCCCCAATCGACTGGCAAAAACTGTATAACAAGGAGATTGAGCCGCCATTCAAACCGTTGGTCACGTCGGAGACGGATACTTCGTATTTTGATAAGGTAAGTAAATAATATGTTTTGGATTTTAAAGGCAAACTAGTGGAGAGCCTTTGGGCAAACAACGTTAGTTCGAAAATCCAACCTAATTGTAATTAGAGGGCAGGCTGGCAGAGACTATTAGAGAGAATCGGGTTCAGCCATCTAACAGCTCCTTGAGGGAGTTCTAAAATCAATTAATTATCTTCTAAAATTTAGCTTACTTTTCGCGTCAAGGCAGGCTAGCAGAGTCCTTTGGGAACGAAATTTCAGCAATCTAGCACAGAGCCTAAAATCAAATAATTATTTTCAAACATTTGACTTAATATACAGCCTAATTGGCATTAGGGCAGCCTAGCAGAGACCCTTAGGGAGCCCGGTCTTGGCAAACTGGCACAGATTCTTGAGGAAATTCCAAGATCAATTAATTATTTTTAAGATATTCAGTTCAATTTCATCTTGTTTTTGTTGCCTTGAGGCAAGCTAGCAGGGACCATTAGGGATCCAGATTTAGGCAGTCTAGCACAGATCCTTTAGGATATTCTAAAATCCACCAAGGTGTTGTTCTGAGTTCAAAGATTTAGCTTAATATCAGCTTAATTGGCGTTAGGGCAATCTAGCAGAGACCATTAGGGATGACCACATCCCGGCAAGCTAGCAGAAATCTTTGAGGACTTTAGAAAGCGAAAATAAAGATAACTAAACAAATAAAATTAATTAATTTGCAGGAATTCACCTCCGAGGCCGTCCAATTGACGCCGCCTCCAGCCCGTGCTGGCCCCCTCGCTACCGTAACCGAAGAGCTCGAGGATATGCAGAACAATTTTGTGCAATTCTCCTTCCACCAACATGTCAACAGTCTCCGCGAAAATGCCGAGATGATGGAGTAGAAATTCCATGGTTCTAAAATTTTGAAAGTGATGCGTGGAAAATATTACGGCAATTGGATGGGGTTTAGCACTTTCGCGTTATCGCGGGAACTTGTTTGCTATTTTTAAGCGTAAAATTTACATTTTGATTGAAAAAAGACAAAACTTTCAATTTTCGAACAAAAATGCCGATTTTCGACCAAAATCCAAAATTGTCCACGTTTTAGATAGTTTTTGCTATGGTTAAACTTTACTAAAAACTATTAAAACACTTGGTATTACAGTTACTTACCAGTTTCTGAACTTGTAGGATAAAGTTAGCCCGCCGCCCGCGACAATGCAAAACTTTAATTTTATTGATTCCCCTTAATTCCGTGGACCTTCCAGACCGGTTTTAATGGACTCATTTAATCGATGTTCTATCGTCAATGTTTAGCGAAAATATGCTGCAAAAAATTTCAGTTTCAAAATTTTGTAAGATGGGGTAATACCAGAGTTTCCTCAGTCTAATTACTTTGATTTTTTGCGTAATTAAATTCTTGATGCGTGTAGCCCGAACCGACGATTTTTCTTTTTGCCTCGCTTCGATTAAAAAAAATTAAAAAATTTGATGTTTCCATGATTTCCCAAATCATCGGAGACTATTATGCAGCAATATAAGACTTATCTTGACTTCAATTATAAGTTTACTTTTTTATCGAGGAAAGCTGCTGGCTAAGCGTAATTCGACAACACCATCTTATAGAATTGTCAGTTCTAAAATGATTACGGCATTTAAAATGTTTCAAAATTGGCAATTTTGAAAAGCAGTCAAATGCCGTAATTTTGGAGTACCTTAATCGCTGAATCCTAACGTACAGTTCTTTATTTAATTTGTTTGAGATTTGGCTAGTTCTCAGTCCCTTAAAACCGTTTCCTTTTGAATTTTTTTGATTTTAAGTATTAATTTTTTGATTCTAGCATGTTTTTAATGAAAATGTTGTTTAAAATAACTTTTTATAATGTAATTTAACTGTCCAATAATTCTACCTATCGAGTACTTTCATATCCATGATTCCATTTCGTCTAAAAATGACACTATCGATTTCCTGGTGCAATTTTTTGTTTTAACTCGTTTCATCTAAATTGAATACCCAACATTTCTATTTCCTTCCGTATATTTTATTTTTTTATTGCTCTCTTTCAACCCACGTGGTACTACGATATCTACCGTGAGATTTCCATATCTTGACTTGATGCGCTTTATTTATACAGTACCCTCGGCGATAAATGGTATAAAATCGTTTTGTGTAATTGCCTGCTGTAATAAAGGTTTTTCAATAAATTTGGTAGCTACAGCCGTATTGCTAGATCTAATGCATCATCATCAAATCAATTCTCATAACTACATCAATTTTAAAAAATAGATTAACAAGATAAAAAGTATAATCTTTATCTAAATTTAAACAGCTAATTATTTAAATAGTTTCTTCCTCATTTCTTCCTGTTATCCAAATTCCGTGCGGATCTTTCGGATTATCGGGGGGGTGGCGGGAAGAGAGATACTTAGGAATGTGCCTGAAAGATTTCCAGCAAAATTTAACTATACTTTAAGTGGAAAAGCCTTCTCTAAAAATTTCTGAAGTTTTCAAAAGGAAAAATTTAGTAAAAATCGTTTAGAAACGCTTCCGCTATCAATATTAGAAAATTGGATCATAAGGAAAATTTGATTCCCCACCCCCGATAATGCGAAAGTACCTTAAATGTTATAGTAACTTTGGCAACAGAAGTTACAAAATGTTGCGCTTAATTTTGAAAACAGCTGTTTCAGAAAAACTGGTTTGGCTGAATATTCCACACTGATCAATCCAAGACCGTTCTGTATGATTCTAGCATGAAAACTTATAGTTTAAGGACTCAAACTGTAGGAAATGATCTCACAGAATCAAAAATGAAGACCAAATTGCGGAATTCTACTATACAGGGTGGGCAGAAAAAAAAGTGCCTGGTTTGCACTGAAATATCTCGCTGGGGGAAACGAATCGGACCATGGTTACCTTGCCAGAATGCTTAAATATGCTGGGTATGAAGAATAAACACAAGTTATTTTTTATGATTTTTGACGACCCACTACTCGTTAAGAATTTTTGAACATTTTTGAAAAAATCGAAAACTTTGAAGAGGAAAATCATGGAACTTTTTATGAGTTAGGGGGACATGTAGGGTATCAAAATGAAGCTCTTGGAATGCGCTATCAAATCAGTGGTAAAGAATTTTGATAGGTTTAACTAACCGTCAATAGGAGTCTTCGGAAAATCGGCATTTTTTGAAGGAATAATTCGAGATAAAATTTCTTTACCATCCGATCTTTCTGATATTTTGCAGTTAGCAATAAATAGATACCTGCTAACTTTTTGCATTAAGATGGTCAAAATCCCGATCAAAAAATTTTTTGGCACTTTGCCAAGTCGGCGGAATTTATAAGTTCTAGGCTCTCATAGTTAAATTTATAATATGGTTATCTTTGGCAAACAGGATTACATCTAACAAATAGAAAAAGTTACCGTGGCAATGTGCTTTCTATGGTTAACTCGGAATCGTCCCTTCTGGAAAAGTGCCGATTTTCCGAAGGCTCCTATTGACGGCTAGTTAAACCGATGGATAATTTTTACCACTGCTTTGATAGCGCATTCCAAGAGCTTCATTTTGATACCTTACATGAGCCCCTAACTCATAAAAAGTTCCGTGTTTTTCCTCTTCAAAGTTTTCTATTTTTCCAAAAATGTTCAAAAATTCTTAACGAGTAGTGGGTCGTCAAAAATCATAAAAAATAACTTGTGTTTATTCTTCATACCCAGCATATTTAAGCATTCTGGCAAGGTAACCATGGTCCGATTCGTTTCCCCCAGCGAGATATTTCAGTGCAAACCAGGCACTTTTTTTTCTGCCCACCCTGTAGAAAAAAGTTATGAATTTTACAAAGTTTTCGCTGCGGGAGCCTACAAAAGTTTCGACCATTTCGACTAGGGTCGAATAACAACTCTACAAAAAAGCAATACTTTATCATTTTTGATATGTTAATGATTCATTTAACTTTGGTGATCTATATCACTTCGGCGCAGTTTTTTAGTAATGGATTTCATCAATCAATTCATCAATTAAACAGTTTTCCTCAATATAAAATTGTGATACGCAAATTAGGAAGTTTTATTTTACATTCAATTGTACCGTCGCGTTTTTCTTTTACAGTTAGCTTCATAAAAAAAGTATGTTTCGGACATTTTTTAGGCTTACTGACCGTCAGATAATACAATTTAGCCATATAGATCTACTTTATAAAGTTAAAATTATTTTTATAGCTTAACGGTCTGCCCATCATATAGTGAAAAATGTAACGTGGTGTTTTAACAAAATGGTTGCCTAAATATTGGACTTTTGACCAAAAATGGGATACAACAATGTTTGGTATTCCCGGCTTCGCGCCTGGTTAATATAACATGGATCTCCAGAATTTGACAATTAATTAAAACAAAATGGATCGTGAAATTTTACATCCGTCTTGCAGTGCCATCGCCTACCTCTTTTCTTTATTTTCTCAAAATTTTATGCTTCATAAATTTTTAATCTTACTGACCAGTCGGGAGATACAGTTGTTCCTGGTGTTAAAGTTAAAGTTAAAATTACTTATATAACTTTACGGTAAGAAGCAAAAAGCTAATCTTTGACGATTTAACGAAATATTCACCAGATTTTTTGTTGAAAAACCGTGTTACAACAATTCTTGGTATTGCCGATTCTTGTGCAACTTCAATGCATACTAGTGTTCAAATTTAAACGTTATGAAACACAAAATTTATTACGTCACCAAATTCCCTTGAAAATCATTAATTTATCCCATCCTTGCCGCAATCTCCGGGGCCACCTTTTCGAGGGCCGTTCGCAGGTTTTCCGTCTAAAATTACATTATTTTTAATTTTAATTGTATTCATAGAAAATATTTTCTGATCAGGTAGATATGTATGCAAATTTAAAGGGATGTGTAAGACCAAACCTGCATCTCGAGTCCCATAATTTCGGAGCTCTTGTTGCCCAGCAGTTGGTAGAGCTGCAAAAAAATGCATAATTAATCAGAAGACCGGCTGGTTGAAACATTAAACCGGCTGTAGTATCAAAAACCGTGGAAAACTATGAAACAACCTTTTTTCCCAAATTTTCTATTAACAAAACTTAAGATTTCGAGTTTCGCACAATTTTAAACTTTAGATTTTTTTATTTACTAGCCTTTTTTACTTCATTCTATGCATATTTAAAGCCACGTCCAGATTACATTTAAATCGATAAGTAAGCCTCTTGAAAAAGTTTTACTTTGAATTAAACTTAAGCCAAAAATACATTTTCGGAATTGTTCTAATTTTAGGCGTTTTTATACCGGAAAAACGATTTAAAATGCTATCGAAAATGATGATTTTTAATAGGGTCGTAGGAGAGTACTGCGGAACCCCCCCGGCTAACGGTCCAGTACCTTATTTAGAGCGAACATTTTTTAGCTGCCAAATTTTTTTTACCGGGACGTATTATAATGTACAGTACTGCATTAACAGCGAAATAATAATATTTTTAGCCTTACATCTTCCTGCTTGACGTCGAGCTTCTTGATCTGGTCCTCAAGCTCGACGTTTCCGTTGAGCAAATCGACCTGCGCCAATTCTTCATTTTCCTAGAAACATACTGTTTTTAACCTGAAAATTATAATATTACCAATCTCTGTCGCATACTGGCCAGCTGCATGTCTTTTTCGCGGAGCAGCTGGCGCAACTCGTTGTATTCGGCGGTCAGGGCTTTTCGCTGAAAAACGAGAATGAAAACTGATTTTTTGAGCAATTTTGTTACGATTTAATGTCGGTTTTCTGTACTCTCACCAGCAAATCGGCGCAACCGGATTATGGCAAACTGGGTCAATTTTTGAAACACCTTATTTTTCTTAGGATCGAATCTCGCAAATATAAATAGCGGAAAGGTTTCTAAACTGTTTCTTACTA